AGACAGAGTGTTAAACTTTTATTATTATATATATATATATATATATATATATATATATATATATATATATATATATATATATATATATATATATATATATATATATATATGGATCATATGAAGATCTTCCCCCCCAAAGTATCCAACTGAAGATCCACCCCCCCAGTCGCGCTCATATGAAGATCCCCCCCCCTCAGTCGCGCTCATATGAAGATCCCCCCCAACATATAATATAAATAAACAACATAAGGATTAAATAATATAACATTATTCAGATTACTTTCATGTTACACTAAATACTGCAAGAAATTTATGTACATAGTTTCTTAAAAAAGAATTATTACACTGAATATTGCAAAAAAATATGAGTACATAGGTTATCAAAAGCATTCCTGAAGAAACGGTCACACCACATCCAGGCTTGATCATATGAAGATCCTCCCCCCCCCCAAGTAGGTTTGGGGGGGAGGATCTTCATATGATCATATATATATATATATATATATATATATATATATATATATATATATATATATATATATATATATATATATATAAATAATATATTTGTGTTAACAAGTGAGGAAGAAGATAAAGTATAAGGATAGAGATAAATTAATAAAACTTGAGGCTAAGTGGCCAGTAATCCCCAGAACAAGTTCAATAAAACTTAAGACAGAGCCGGAGTGTCGGACAAGGGACACACCATCTTCCCGCGTCACTTGACAACAACAAACTCGTCCAAATTTTATATTTTTCTACAAAATATAAAAACTCGTGATTTTTCCGCCTCCTCAACATTAGACAAAGTTCTTGGTGAGTTAATGGTTACTTATTCACAGTCTAGCTTTGAAATATGTGCTGAAATATGTGGAAAATGAGTTAAAAGTAAAGTATGCGAATGGTACAAAGTAGGACCGAGCCATGTAACTTATTCGTTATTTAACAACTTAAAAGTTACTTGTGTGACAGTCAGAGAAAAACATTAAAGACTTATAATGAGAGTTGTTTCAATTCGTTCATTTTTCCACACATGTTCTTATAGTATTTTAAACTGTTGTGGATATTTTGCCGTGACTGACTAAGTTTCTATTAACGCTATTGATATGGCCAATGGCCAACTTTTCATAGAAAATTATTGGTAAATTTTTCTTGTAGCTCTGTTCACTTGTAGCAAGTTAAAAATATATTTTTCTAGTGTATTTGTGTGTGCTGAGACCGAATATGATCTTCCTTTTTGGCGGAAATTAGCCGTTTTGTTTTGCGATTTTTTCCGTTTGACGTTTTCCGAGAAAAAATTGCCTAAGCGACTAAGAAATACACAATAAAACACTAGAAAAACAATAACCAAACCTAACCTAACTTAATTTAACTGAATTGACTCACCATATGATGGAATCACCTATTTCTTACCTTATTGGCCTGGTTCTTGTTCGTCGTTGCATTCTGGGATTCTTACACAACATCACATATGTTGGTCTTTGCGATATTTACATTCAGTCTTACTCTTAGTACTCTTTACTGAGGTTGGAAGAACACCATGCGATCGAAAAAATGCTATAGTTTCTGCGTTTTTTTCCCAAAACTCGCAATCAGCTCCATATACTTTAAGTGACACCCATCGCACACTTCCATGGTCGGAAGTGAACTTGAATTTCAAAATATGAGAGACCAAAAAGAATACTCGAATTTGATTGGGTAAAAAAGACCATGAATTAAACCCAAAAACATTTTAATTGGTTTCAAAATAAGAAAGGCTTTTGATTAGCCGCGTGACGTGTACAGCAACGCATGCGCAGGATGATTTATGAAGGGGACGCAGGAGACACGCAGTGTTGGACGAGAGGCAGACGATAATGACGCGTTGTTAATGGAAGAAAATAGAAACATTTTTGGAAGAGCTATCTCTGTTATTGTGCTTTCCGCCGGTAATGTAATAGATGAAAATTATCTTATAATTAGACGTCTTATTCGAATATGATAATAGATTAGTGGTAGGAATGAACGGAGCCACAAGAAAATAATACCAAATTATTATATAAATGGCGCTATTTCACTGTTTTATAGTGGACACTGTCGTAATTTGTGCAAATGTGTTCAAAAGTGGTTATTTGTAAATTAAACCTAACCTAACCTGAGATGATATGAAAAATAAGCAGCAGAAGCATTGTTAGAAGACCTCACCAACCTAACCAAACAAACCTACCTAATCTTACCTAACTTACTGTGAGATGGTGTAATTTTACGTTTTTTGTGGATGTGAGAGCAGCTCTCTGTACTGAATGGTTCTTAAGCATATCCTGAGCATCGGCGTTGATCAAGCCCGGGTGACAGAGTGTTTTGAAATACGTCAATATGATTGGCTGTTTACATTCTGGGAGGAGAGGTTACTGCCGCATAACCACCGAGAAGACTGAGTACTGTAGTGCACCTCCAGGTGGTTTAATTGTGAAAGAGATGTATATAAAGTATTACCTTCTTTATAAAACAGGCAAAAGGAACCAACCTTATCTAACTACAGTATAAAGTATTGAGTTAGGTCGGTTCCTGTGGTGGTACTTTCCTTTTTCAACATACCAGTACAGTAACTACTATGTTCTATTTGGAAATGTATATAACAATAAAAGTTGTTTGTTACTTTCTTATTAGTATAAATCTGGTGTTGAAAATTGATAAATATTTCAAAATAGATTGAGTGTTAATACTTTACCATTATTGCACACTTAAACTGGGTATTTTGCAGACTTTTTTATATAAAGGAAGCTATTCTTTACCTCCACAATAGTTCATATCCACCACACAAACTCTAATTTACCCAGTCTGGTTTTTCCGTTGTTTATCTTTTCGGTTTCATGTACCAAAGAGAACACCAAACAAATGTTTGAAAACCTTACCTAACTTTTCCTAACCTATAAAAAGGTTAAAAACTGCTTCTGAGTTCACGGATCCCCTCCTCGTCCGAGCACCCAAAACTACACCGATGTGTACGGTATACTCTCGATTTAACGGAATACGATATAACCAACTCTAGATTTAGCGGAAGGAATTTTTTCCGTTGCTTTTCACACGATTCGGTGAACAAGTTTGCTAAGTTGAGATTGATTCCGTTAATGTGCTCACACCTACGGGCACACCTCAGACCCACGATGTGTACTTAGAAACATTATTTGTGGTTTACAATAAACTATGTGGTTCGGTGTTTGTTTTAAAATTTTCTATAATTTTCATTTTTTTTCCAGTTAATAGATGCGCTCTTTTGACTTTCTCCCCCACACCACTTCCTTTCTGAGAGACTTTCGGCATCACGTCCAAGCACAGTAGTTAGTCGACCGAAAGGTGCAGTAAGCAATTGTTTATTGTAGTAGGCCCATAAGAGAAACAAAATTCAACTTAGGCTTTATTCTACAAGAGTTCAAGCATCATGTAGCAAAAACAAATGAAACAAATAATTAACATAAGCAGATAAATAGACAACAACAAAATGAAACAAAAGAGAAACAATAACATTAAAACAAAGTGGAAAGATATACCTATGTTCTGTACTGTATATATACAGTATAACAAGAGGTAGACACACGCAGGGCACAGACTGAACGGATGTATACAGACCCCATGCGCCAAGCAGCGCATTTAGCACGGAATCTACTGAATCAAGCTTGATTTAGTGAACTAGTTTGCTGAATCGAGCAAAAATAACGGAAAGTTCGATTTAGCAGAAGTTTTGATTTAACGGAAAGGGGCGGCTGTAATTAGTTGATTAAATTGAGAAAATACTGAAAACACTGAAAACCTGAATAAGGTCAACGTTTTATAGTATTAGGATTATTATAGGTTAGGTATATATATTTTAATTTCTAAAAAAAAAAAGAGTTTTGAACTCTCCGATAGCCGGGTTTTAATATTTACTCCGAAAATTGTTCCAAAAGTAAAAAAAAATCTGAAAATTCCGGCTTTGGGAACGATTTTTTGAGTGGCACATTTTCTGGAAAATTCTGAGAAAACTTTTCCGTTACCTGGATAATTTCGGGGATGAGGGATTTTTTCTGACTTTGAAAGAGTTGTCTTGGTACCCGGAAATCTCTCATTCCTGGAAGTGTTCTGCACCAATTTTTCAGGCAAATGGCGATATCACTGTACTGTATTTTAATTTTTTGAGTGTGGTGCATGACTCCAAAAAGATCCTTCTAGTCTTCAAATTTTTATTCAAAGTTGACTTCTTTAAAAACAAGGACACAGTACTGTAAAGTGAACCAAACAAACCCAACCTAACCTTACTTAACTTAAGTAAAGTATGGTTAGGTTAAGTTAGGTTTTGTTGGTTCATATCATAAACAAATGAATTTATGTTGTAGTCTCACAGCTGCCATCTCTGAAGAACTTAACGAACTCATCTTGATTACAGTAGGATCTCAAGTTTAGTGAGTTTTAGATTTGTTTCATATTTTTCTCATCACTTACAGTTTCCAGCCTTTCAAGAATAATTATTTTTATTACCGGTTTTGCGAGTCAATAGAGAGTGGGCAGCGCGCAGTGTAGCAGTCCTTTGTCTTCCACCGAGTTTTTGTTTACGGCAACTAGTTTCAATGAGTGAGAGCAGGCGGTGCAGTGACCTTGGATTATATAACCCATTGTGCTTACGTTTTGCAAGATTCTTGTGGAACTGTTAACAATTCTTGTGTATTACGGTAACAATACTTGTGTGTTACAATTCTCGTATACTAACAATGAGTGAGGTGCGTAATGTAAATGTCGGGAGCGGTTCTGGCGTTAATGATGATCATAGAGAAGGTCAACAAGAAAAGCCCCAAGCCAAATGTGACTACCGTAAGGGGATGAAGAAGAAGAAATACATCCTTGAAATTAAACGAGAGATGATCAGAAGTGGTGCTCGTACCTGTGACATCATGCGCAGGTTCAACTGTCCCCAATCGACCGTCCGTTCCCTTAAGAAGAACAAGGAAGCCTTAACTACTGCTGTGAATTTATTCTCAAGATTTTCTAGTAACAGGACGCTCTCTAATACTTCACAACGAAACCTACTGTTTGTTATCACAAAACATTACCTTCACAAGTGGCTGGAAAGAAGAAACCGTGAGCAGGGCGACCGGTCTGGGCCACAGATAAGGCATCAAGTACGTGTTTATTATGCTGCAGTTGAACAGAAGAAACGAGTTAACTCTCCACCACCGTTCAATGCTTCTGTTGGTTAGTTGTCTGGCTGTGTGTTACAGCAAAGACAGTGGTATTTTCCACTCTTCGCAGGAAAATTTCCCCAAGTCGAAACGACACATCTCACAGGAGCTGTATTTATTTATGCAAACACCACTGTACACCCTACCATATTGTTAATATTGTAAACAGATTAATGTATAGCTACTACTAGTTCTATACTGGAGGTGGGGTGGGGGATTAGTGGGTCATGTTACTGACCTGACCTAATGCAATGTCAGGTCACCCATTGTTGTGGTGACCTGAAGATGCCTTAAATAAGTTGCTCCAATTGTTTCCCACTTACTGAATGTACAGTACAGTATATGTAACTGTTATCACTTTGTGCACAACACAAATTGTTACAGAAAAACAGCAGCTAGTGAGTGAACAACAACCTTCTACAATGGCAGTAGAATATGAAGTAAGTGATTCAAGCAGCTAGGCCACCCACGTGCCTGGCACATGGGGATGCATTGGAGCATGATGCAATATCTTGGAATGCCTTGAAAATCTGTTCCCAGGCCAAGAACGGAGAGATCTGGAGAGAGTTTCTGGAAATTTTCTCGTAATTTTCCAGATTTTCAACCTCAGAAAATCGTTCACAAACTCGGAATTTAGATAAATTTCTTGAAAAAATTCCGAGCAAATTTCCAATTGGGCTATTGGCGAGTTCCAACTAAGAGGGATTCTGGCTAATGGAGATACCTGTATTACTTTGTAGGAAAGCCTCTGATAACGACGGTACTACTAAAGACGATTCATACTTAAGACCCTGGTTAATTTAGGACCCATTTCAATTTATATACTGTAGGTGCCATGATGGGGGCAGAAAAAGAGAGTGCATAAAAAACAACAGTTTTCACTTGATCACACAGAATCTTGAATGAGACTGTACAACTATAGACTGGTGAGCCTGACCAGCATAATATGTAAAGTACTTGAGAGTATTATCAGAGATGCCGCAATGGAACATCTAATACGAAACAACCTTGTAAAAGATTGCCATCACGGTTTTATGCCGGGGCGCTCTTGCTTAACACAATTGCTCAAGGTATTGGATATTTGGACCCATATTCTGGAGCGGGGTGGTAATATCGACAATATTTACCTAGATTTTGCCAAGGCTTTTGACAGTGTACCCCACGAAAGGCTTAAAATCAAACTGGAAGGGTACGGAATTCAGGGAAATGTCCTAGCGTGGATAGAAGACTTTCTACATGACTGCAAGCAGTGTGTGGTGATTAATGGCATGAAATCGTCATCTGTACCTGTCACAAGTGGGGTACCACAGGGCAGTGTATTGGGCCCGCTGTAGTTTGTTTCATAAATGACATGCCTGATGTTGTACACTCCTCCATACAAATGTTTGCCGATGACGCCAAGTTATTTCGGTAAATTAAGAACCAAGCGGACTGTGAAGAGCTGCAGAAGGACCTCTGTGGGCTCCAGGAATGGTCGAAGAAATGGCTGTTGAGATTCAATGTCACAAAGTGTAAGAGGATGCACCTGGGGCGAACCAACGGTAAGGAGGCGTATCATATGTCCCAACGGGATGAAGAAACTGCACTATTTGAGACTGTATGTGAGAAGGACCTAGGTGTGTATGTTGACAATGAGCTGAAGTTCTCGAGCTATTGCCAGAAGAAGGTAAATCAATCAAATAAATTATTGGGTCGTTCAGATATCTAGATGGTTCGTCCCTCGTAACGATCTTCAGGAGTGAAGTGCTTTCCCGTCTGGAGTACTGTTACCCCATCTGGTCCCCGAGATATGCTAGGGACTTTCAGTTGGTTGAAAATGTTCAAAGGAGGGCCACCAGACTGGTGCCTGCACTTCGGCACCTCAGCTACCCTGAGAGATTGGAGCGCCTGAACTTGCCTAGCTTATACTACAGACGGGCAAGGGGGGACCTAGTTGAGGTTTATAAGCATCTCGGGGGGCACTACTCAGTTGAGTGTCCTTACTTGGAGCTGGCGGACGCTCGCCCCACAAGGGGTCACAGCTCAAGATTGAAGAAGCCACACGTCCAGAAAACTGTGAGGGCAAACTTTTTCTGAGTGAGGGTTGTAAACTCTTGGAACAATCTACCAGAGAGTGTTGTGACGGCACCGAGTGTGAGCTCTTTCGAGACAAGACTTGACCAACACTGGAGCGGGCTCAGGTACATTCAGGAGCCGGTGCATGCCCAGTATTTGCCAAGAGTGGGTGACAGAGATGTGACCGATCGCCCGGGCGGCTAGCGAGCCGATCTTTTGGTGAAGAAGATAAATGAAAAGGAAAAGTAATCAGAGACACGACTGATTGCCCATGCGGCTAACTAGGCGATCAGTGGCGAAGAGGATAAAAGTGAAAAAGTAAAAGTATTACTGAATATGTATTTGATTGAATTAATGTATATATGTGTGAAATGAACAATGCAATTCATTAATAATACGTAGATTATTAAAACACAAGAGGAGAGGAGACGGTATTGTTTTTGTGTGTTTACACCCGTGAGTCATTGACGATGGTTCTACATAAACTGAAGAAAATAAGTCCCTGGTTGTAGCTGTAGTAAAAGTAATGTAAAAAAATGAATATGTATGTTTTAAGTAATGTTATTTAATCTTAGTAAATGAAACAATAAAAGTAGCTAACCATTAATGGTAAAGAAAAAACAAAATAGATTGGGAACTCCATCATATGAAAGTGCGTACATGTGAAAACATCGTCATTCCTCTACATAAGAAAATGAAAGCAACACTTATTACTGTTCATATATGTTTTAAATAATACCTACTAATGTAAAATAAAAATTCTACACAAAAATGGTGGTAAAGTCTAAAACATAAGGACAGCCAATGAATATTGTGCGAGTTTTTACTCAGTTGGCGAAGTCATCAGGTTCAACTCTGGCTGAAGCTGTAGCTTTCCATAAAGATATTAGCTGTTGCTGAAACTGTTACTGAACCTGAAGTTGTTGCTGAAGCTGCTTATGATAATGAATTTGATGGTGTAGCTGAAGTTGGTAGTTTAGGCCTTCGAATAATAAAGCTGTCAAAAGAACCTTGCACAGCTGCTTTCTTTTCTGTTAATTGTAATGCTTTCTGTTAATGGATCCACATCAGAAAATATGTTCATTGCTT